CCATGTTGGTGTGGCGGGGGGGTGCCCCCCCCCCACACAATGGGGTAAATAGGTCTTGGCGGCGACAGATGTACACAAGGGGGGAGGGCAAGAAGAAGGAAGAAAAAAGGTTGGCCACGTATTTCAGCCGTTCTTGAAGAAAATTGATTTGGCGAGTGGACGACAGATGAAGGGCAAGGAAGGGTGGTAATCGCGGGGGGGGCTGCCAGGGGTGCAGGGCATCAGGCTGCAGGGAAGGGTGTGCGGCACAATGCGTGCATGGAAGAGAGATGGAAGAAGAGAGATGGGAAAAGAGTTTCCTGCAACAGGCAGGTGCGGCGATGTAGCGCAAAAGGGGCGATGTAGCAAAAGGGGCAAACCCCTGCAGGGGCAAAAGGGGGCAAACGGCTGCCCAAAACGGGTGCGGGGGCAAGTCACAGGGAGGGTTGATACCTCAACGATACCCTAACAGCGACGCCGCTGGGGCTGTCTGGCCACCAGCGGCAAAGGCGCGGAACAGGCACAGGCGGGAACCATGGCGGGTGTACAGGCGGCGCGCGGACAGTTCACTCCCGCGGCTAAGAAAGGCCTTCTTTGAAGGCGCTGGAGCTAGTGTCTAAACCCTCCGAGAGGGCACAGGTTCGATTCCTCCCATGTCGAAACTTTGTGAGGACAAACGCGGCATAGCTGACCGGCTCAGCGCCAATCTAAGCCAATTCATTCGGGAACGCCTAATAGAATCGCTAAGGGTTCGGCACAGGCCTCCCCGGGACCCATTCACTACTAGTGGGGGGTACTGCACTTGGCGCGTCGGGCAGATCAAATAATGGTCTAAAGCTAGACGTTAAAACCGGGAAGTTAAGCCTGTGGAGGCTCTTCCCCACCTTTACCTTTACCTTTACTTAGTCAACTGGCGAGATTGTCGTTTGTTTGGGCGCTGGTAGTATATAGGCGTGCAGCCGATAGCAGGCAATGGTGATGGTACATGGCGGGCTGAACCGCATGGCAAGCGTGGTGTGCCTGCAGCACTGCAGGCTGCCGCTGCTGCCTGCAGACTTTATTTCGGAGATGGGTCAGGGCTGACGAGCCACAGCGCGGCAAGGGGGCAGGCCAGGGGGCGCCGGCGCTCAGCGCGGCTGCGGCAGCCGCGAGGCGCCGCAGCCGCTGCCCCCGCTCACTGCCTGCTCCCACGCCGCCTCGTCCTCCTCCGCCAGCCAACCCTCCAGCCACCAGTCGGCGCTGGCAGGCGCCGCCACAGCCGCGAAAGCAGCAAAGGGAGAGACGGGCATGGCGGCAGGCGGCGAGGCCAGCGCCACGGCAGCCACAGCGGGCGCCGCGACGGGCGGCGCCGCCGCCCGCCACGCCGGCTGCGGCGGCTTTGCGCAGCGCAGCGGCTGGCCCGCGCTGGCGGCATGCCCGGCACTGCAGCAGGGTTGGGGGAGGGGCAAGACGGCGCTGGTTGCGGGCGGGCCGAGGTGTGCAAGCGGAGGAGGCCAAGCAGGTGCAGGACTCAGCTCGGGGCTGTCCGGGGGGCGCAGGCCAGCTGCCTGCCAGCTGCCGCCCAGCTGCGGCTCACCTGATGTCCATGCAGCTGCCGCCGCTGCCTGCCGCAGGGCTGCTGCAGCTGCTGTTGCCGGCGCTGGAGGGCTCAAGGTATGGCAGTACCGCGGCCCAGCTCTCGCGGAACCCGCCGCTGCTGATGCCACACAGGCTGACACTGAAGGCGGGCACAGCCGCCGTGCACGGCGGCGTGCCGATGCCGAGCGGCGCCGTGGGCGAGCTGCCCAGCAGCACGCCGCTGCTCAGGCTCTGCTGGCTGTGCTGCGGGGTGCGTGGCGGCACCTGGCAGCCCTGCTCCTCAGCCACACGCCCCCACGCCGCCAGCCAGCCGGCCACGGCCTCGCTGCTGGTGGCGCACGGAGCGGCCGCCGAGGCGGTGGCGGGGCGACGGGCGGGCAGCGACTGAGCGCTGTCGGCGACCTGCCAGCCGGGGTCGCAGAATGAAGAGGCTTGGGGGCCATGGCGCCGTGGGGAGAGGCCGTAGGGGCTGCTGGAGAGCTGTGCTTGCTGTGGCGGCGCGGCATGGCGGTGCACGCGAGGGCGCGACGGCGCGGCCTGGGGCGTGCTGCTGCATCCGGTGCGCGACGCGGCGGGAGGCGGTGCCGATGGACAGGTTTGCTTTACAGGACCTGCAAGCGAAGGCGGGCACAGCCAGCACAAGTGACCCAATTGCAATGGACGTGGCCTCCCGCCACAACCCTCGGCTTGTGGCGCTGCTGCACAGCTCCCGAGTCCCTGCCCGGCAGACGTGCCCTGAATGAGCCCGAAACGCCCACAAGCCCAGGGGTGTGGCAGACGCCAGTTTCATGGCGTAGAGCCCACCTTGCTGCTGCTCTTCTGGTGCCCCAAGCATCCAGTCGCACATTTCACGTATGTCATCTTCATTATAACCCGCGAACATGCAGTGAATTTGGTCTGAGTTGCGAGGAGGGTACGGGGAGCCTTTCGGGGCCCCCTTCTGTGAAACACACCTCTGCACATGAAAGGGGAATGTGAAAACAGGGTGGGGAGGTTTGTGGTGGCGTATTTCGCGAGGGGCACCAGCCGTCTGTCGACGTGGCCCTTCGCCCTGAAACCCCTTGCATGAACCGGAGAAGGTATCGCCCTCTTCCTGGGAACATTTCTTGCTCATCTCGCCGTAACATGCGCCTTGGTATATGAAACATGGATGTGAGGGCAGCAGTGCGCATGTGCCAGGTGCTGGTGCTTGTGTTGCCCTAGATAGCAGCTAGGGCCGCCTCCGCCACCGCTGCCCACTCTCATCCGCCTTGGGGCGCCCAAACGTCCACTTTCATGCGGCAACACAGCCTGATGCGGGGAAGCACACACCTTGGTGCCAGCAGGTGAAATTTGAGTGATCAGCAGGGGTGCCTTGGCTGATGCCGCTGCTCTGGGGATGGACGGGTGGCGGTTCGCCACTTGCTCCCCCGGGCCGCCACGCTTACCGCAGCCCCAGCCTGCCCCCGCCGCTGAGCGCTGCTGGCAGCATGTAATGGCTTTGGGTGTGGAGCCCTCTGCCATGCCTGTTGTCTGGGGGCGTCTCCGCTCCCTAGCTGAGGGGGGCACCCAGCCCTGCATGCTCGGCGGTACGCCTGTCTATGCTCAGAAGCCAGATCAGCTCCCCGGATTCCCGGCAGAGATGCGCTGCAGCATGCAGCTCAAAGCATTTGTGGCAGGGGGGGTCATCCCTTTGACACGTCTCGGAGGGGAGAAACATGGGCGGGGTATGTCCTGGTGAGCTAAGGTCATCTTTGCGGTGATGGTGCCGCCAGCGGAGGCCGAACTGCCGCCGGCACCTGCGAGGTGCACGCATTACAGTGGCTGCATGCGATCAAACGTGATATGAACGCAGAACAGCAAAAAAAATTTAGGGGAAGAAATTGAGAGAGACTGATGGGGGAAACAGAGGAGGGAGACGGAAGGAGGGGGGTGCGCATTGCGGTTGACGGTGGTACAGGGAGGGGGTACAGCTGCTGCATTGGCTTGGGCAGGCATCACAACGGGGGCACGGCGCGCGCAGTTTCTGGGGCAAAATGAAATGAAAACGTCGAAAACAACTTCACGGCATAAAGGGGCACAAGATTCGGAAGGGGGCAGAGAACAAGAGGAGACAGGGAGGCAGGGAGGGGGTTGGCCGGGCTGGCAAGACAGGCCGCGGCATCTCATACATGTGAACAGGGTCGCACAAAGGGGAGGCTACCCGGCTAGCAAGGGTAATGTTTCATTCTCATCTCAAACTTTGCAAGGCTTGGGAACACAGAGTGGGGGCGCTAGCTCCACCCATCGCTGTCGCTGTCGTCGTCCGGAAAGGGGATGGCGGCTGCGGCGGCAAAAGCGGAGATTGGCATGGCGGGCGGCGGCGGTGGCGGGGGGCCGGGCTCGTGCGCCCAAGGCAGCGCCTGTGCGGAGCTGGGTGCCAGCTGCCAGGTGCCGGGCCAGGTGCCGTGAATGGTCAGGCTGGGCATGTGGCCTCCGAGGGGCACCAGGCCCGCGATGCAGCTGCAAATGGAGGGAGGGGGCACGGGGTTGCCGGTCAGCCAGGGCACTTGCACTGGCACAGTTGGCAGCGCCAGTGCGGCTTGGCTCCATGGGTGTGCTGCCGAGTGCCAACAGCTGCTTGCCTGAGGTGGGGGCCGCCCAGGGCAGCGGGGGAGCTTGCTACGCTTGTGCTGCTGCTGCGACCCGGCGACGGCGAGGGGGCGGCGGCTCGCCAGCGGCTGCTTGCTTGTGCTTGTGTGGGCTTAAAGTCTGGTAAAGCAAGAACTAGCTTGCAACATAGACTCCCCGCCGAAACGGGACGGGAACCGGGCGAAAGCAGAGAAAGCAATAAAACAGGGGTGGAGCAAGGCGACATGCAACGCAAGCAGCTGACAGGGCACGCATCGAAACGTGTGTATGACTGGCAAAGTGGCATGGCGCATTGGGGAGAAACGCAACGGTACGGGAGCATGGGCTGGCCAAACGGCAGTGCGGAACGCTAGGTCACTAGAAAAGCAGGGAAAGGCGCACTATGTATGCAATGAGGGCAGCCCCGGCTCGGGGCCGTTGAGAAAGCAGTGGGCGGGAGGGGGGAGGCCCCGGTGTGGGCGGGCCCCATCGAGGGGGGATGGGGCGCGCAAGCGGCCAGATGGGGCGGGGCGCGGGCGGCAGTGGAGTCCTGCGGCTGGGTGGGATATAGGGCAATGAGCGTTGAGCAGTGTGCGATGAGCAATGAGCAGTGAGCAGCCCCTCCCTAAACAAAGTGAAGCGCAGGACGGGGTCCGGTGGATGGGAGGCTGCTGCTGATCAGCCCTGCCTGCCAGCTGTCGTCGGCAGATGACATTGGCTGCGGCGACTCACAGCAGCCCTGCTCCTGCGCAATCAACCCCCAGGCCTCGAGCCAGCCAACCAAAGGAGAGCCGCCCAGCGGTGTGCCGACGTCGCGCTGGTGGAGGGGGGTGGCGATAGGCGCCAGGCCGGGGGGCGCCGCGCCCACGGCGGGATGCGTCACCCTGGGCCGCTTTGTCTGGATTGCGCAGAGCTCCTCAGGGCTAGCGTGGACACCGCAGCCTGCGGGAAATGAAGTGAAAGGTGTGGGCGTACCGATCGGTGGGAGCGGGCACTCATCTCCGGGCGCCGGCTGCAGGCTCATCAACGACTGCATGCGCCTCCCGAGACACACCCAGGCCCAGGGCGCGGGTGAGCGCCATACTTCGAGGGATGCGGGGCTGCGTGTCTGGTCTGCGCAGTGGCTCGTGGGATGGGCGACACATGGTCGGCTGTTGGCTGGTGGAGTTGTCGAGGTTCCGAAGGAGAAGAAGAGATGAAAAGATGCAAAGCGGCGGATGACTCCGGCATGTTGACCATCCGGGCTATAAGAGTCTGACGTGAGGAATGAGCCCCAGCTGGCAAATGTGCCCCTTGTTTCGTGCTGCATCACATGGTTTTACAGTAAAGCTGTGGATGCCGCAGGATACGACCCGTGGAGACGGAGAGTCCCTGGCGTCAGCCGCCCGTCGGCACCAGCGTGGCACATCACAAATTGCAGACAGCCCAGCCTGTCCCTCCGCTACTCTAGTGCCTGCTGCAGCTGCGCCGCCGCCTCGGCCAGCTGCGCCTGCAGCGCCGCAATGGTGCCGTCCTTGGTTGCCAGCACGCCCAGCAGCCGCTGCTGCACCGCCTGCAGCTCTTCCGCTCCGCACCGCCGCTGAGCCTGCGCCTGCTCCACAGCTGACGCCACCGCCTCTGCCAGCTGCCCCTCCAGCTCAGCGGCACGCCTCCGCGCCGCCTCGGCCTCCCCACCCAGCGCCGCCTCCCGCTCAGCTGCGGCCGCGACAGCCTCACGCTGCGCCTGCTGCGCCTGCTCAGCCTCGCGCCGCGCCTGCGCAGCCTCGCGCTGCGCCTCGGCTGCCTGAGCCCTGGCGCAGGCCAGCGCCCGCTCCAGCTGGCCGTACCGCCGCTGCAGCCCCGCGCGCGCAGCCTCCACCTCCTGCTGCAGCCGAGCCAGGCGAGCCGCTTGCGCCGCCGCCGCCGCTTCGTAATGCCGGTCCAGCGCCGCAGCTTGCGCCGCCAACTCGGCAGCCAGGCGTGCCAGCTCAGCGTCCTGCAGGCCGAGGGCGCATGCACGGCGTGGGCGGCTCGTGGGGTGGGGATGAGCGCATGGAGTGAGAAGCGCGTCCCAGCCCAGCAGATGGGCATGTGGCGCACAGCAGTGTTGCACAGCCGTTGGTGCGGCACCCATGCCAGCGCTGCCAGGCCAGCATTGCGGTCTGCCCAGAGAGCTCTCCACAGCTGGCGCTGCCACCCACCAGTGCGTGTTGCTGGCGCTCCGCAGCATTCGCCGCCGCCCGCCCCGCCTCCTGCTGCTCTGCCTGCACTGCGGCCAGCTGCGCGGTGTGCCGCTCGTGCTGCTGCTCCAGCTGGGCGGCCAGGCCGTCTGCCGCCGCCTGCAGGGCCCGCTTCTCCCTGCCAGGGCAGAGCAGGCAAGAGGAGGAAGATTGCGCGGCATTGACTTGGCAAACCGCCTGCGGCAGACGGTCCCGCTTCAGACCTGAAGCCACCTGCTTGTAACTCTGAAGATGCCTGCTTGAAGGCGTGGTAATGTCTCCCACACAGGCAGGGAGACGTGGGAATCACACAGGCTCAGCACACTCTGCTGCCCGGCCACACCTGTCGTGCATGCGGCGGGCACGTGCCGCCTTCTCCACCTGCTCCCTCACCGCCGCCTGCGCCCTGTCCAGCTCGCAGCGCAGCTGGCCCTCACGGCCTGCCGCATCCTCGCGAGCAGCCCGCACCAGAGCAGACTCCAGCTGCGTGGACGCAGGGCAGGGGCGTGTGGAGGCGCAGGGGACGGGGGCGGGAGCAGCGGCGGCGGCGCGGGTCGCCAGGCGGCATTCCAGTAGCTCCCTTCTGCCGCACGCGACTGCAGTGCACGCTCAGAGGCGCTCACCCGGTGCCCCGCCCTGCCGCCTCCCCTCGCCGCTTTTGCCTCCCGCCACAGCTCCGTGAGCTCTGCCCGGATTTTTAGATACTCATGGACATCAAGCACTGCGCAGGGGGACAGGGACGGTGGGCAGGCCCGCGCAGGGCTTAACTGGAATGGCGCCGGCGGAGACAAGCCGCCCCTCACCCCGCGTCAGGAGGGCAGAGCCTGTGTTCTCCTTGCTTGCAGAGGCCGGCATGGTGCAAAAGCGCAGTGCAGCGCCGCTACATCGTGTGCCCTTGAAGGCGAACGAGGGCCCGCCTCATCACCGCCACGCACACCCTTTTGACCGCGTTTGACTGCTGCCTCGCACGGAGCTCGCCGCTGCTCCTCTGCCACTGCTGTGGCCTGCCAAGCGTGTTACGGATCGCAAGATTGAAAGAAGGGCAGGCAAGCACCGCCATGTGGCATACGCCTGCTCTGATCCCAGCAGGGGGCGTCACTGCTGCGGTCCCCGGCGGCGGCGCGAGGAAAGTAGGGCGCAATACGGTGAGGAGTCAGTGCGGCACGAAAAGGGAAACACACACGCGCATACTGTACACAGGTGGGAGGGCGGCCTGCCCAGCAGCATGAAGACAAGAGGGGAGGGGCGCGTGTCAGGAGGACGGCGGCTGTGGCAGGGTGGCGCTGCCGGGGACCGACTTCGGCAGCGGCGTGGGACCGCCTCGCAGCAGAACCGCCGTGGCTGCGCCTCGTGCAGCTGCGGGCAGCAGCCACGGCCGGCACGCTGTCCGGAGGCCTTGCCGCTCGTCCGCGCTCCCCTGGGGCCGCCTCGCCGCCAGCTGCCGGGCCGCCTACTTGAGGCAGTTGCCGCCCGAGAAGCAGACGGCACAGAAGATGATGACGGCGATGAGCAGCAGGATGGCCACGATGATCAGCTTCATCTTCATGTTCTGCCACCACATGCGGCTGCGCAGCTGGCGCCCCGTCTTGTGGAACTTGTCGGCCTGCGGGCGATGGGCGGGGGTGGATGGGATGGGCAGGCGGGGCGCACAGGGGGGGGTCGGCGAGCGCGCACAGGGCAGGCACGGTGGTTGGTGGCGGCTGGAGAAGGAGGCGCACAGGCAGGTGCGTGTGTATGTGTGCCCCGTGAACAGCGCCAGGGCACCGCAACCCCAGGCTGACCCAGCCACACGCCACACCGCACCGCCCCAGCCCCCACACACGGGCACCCAGCCCC